CCCTAGGCCAGTGATAGCTAGCCTTTTCCGGACCAATTGCCCAAAGTGTGCATGCCCACACCCACAAAATGTAATGTGTGCGCACTTCCTGTATCCGCCACGCCCCTGCACATGTGCGCACGCCCCTCCCCCGCACACCTCCCTTCCCCCACACATGCACGAGCAGCTCCCGCACGAGCCCTGTCCCCATGCATGCACAGCAGAGACCTTAAGACCAGCTGGCTGGTGGGAGGCATGCGCGCATACGCAGCAGAGCTGAACTAGGGTGATGGCTTGCGTGCCATCCGAGAGGGCACTGTGTGCCATCTCTGGCACATGTGCCATAGGTTCACCATCACGGCCCTATGCTATCTTTTCCCATGCAGTAATCAGAGGTCAAGAGCAAGTGCTCATTAGCATAGAAAAAGCTTAGTATTACCCTGTTTCAGGGGTGAAATGCTCTCGGTTCGGACCGGATCACCTGATCCGGTAGCGATGGCGGGTAGTTCGGAGAACCGGTAGCAAAAATCCCTGCGCACCCTCCCCCCCACCATGCCCAGCTGAGCCGCACGATCATCAGAGGCTTTTTTTTTTACTTTTAAAAGCATTTTTTCTACAACTTCTTCCACCGAAAAAATGCTTTTAAAAGTAAAAAAAAAAAGCCTCTGATGATCGCGCAGCTCAGCTGGGATCGTCAGAGGCTTTTCAAAGCATTTTTTTCTGCAACCTCTTCTGGAGAAGAGGTGGTTAAAAAAATGCTTTGAAAAGCCTCTGCCGATCAGGCAACACAGCTGGGATCGTCAGAGCCTTTTCAATGCATTTTTTAACCACCTCTTCCCCGGAAGAGGTTGCAGAAAAAAATGCTTTAAAAGTCTCTCTGACGATCCCAGCTGAGTTGCCTGATCGTCAGATAGGCTTTTAAAAAATTATCTGACGATCAGACAACTCAGCTGGGATCATCAGAGAGACTTTTAAAGCATTTTTTTTCTACAACCTCTTCAGCGGAAGAGGTGGTTAAAAAAATGCTTTGAAAAGGCTCTGATGATCCCAGCTGTGTTGCCTGATTGGCAGAGACTTTTCAAAGCATTTTTTTGCATTTGCAGAAAAAATGCTTTGAAAAGTTTTTTTTAAAAAAGTTGGCCACCCAGTCACATTACCCCCTGCCCCCACCAAGCCACGCTCACAAAACCGGTAGTAACAAATTTTTCATTTCACCCCTGCCCTGTTTCCCCCCAAATAAGACATCCCCTGATAATAAACCAAATCGGGCTTTTTAGCGCATGGCAATAAGGCCAAGCACTTATTTCAGGGTTCAAAAAAATATAAAACAGGGTCTTATTTTCAGGGAAATACGGTATATGCAGTTTCCTTTCTCCTTCTGATGGCTTTCAGTACAGGAAGAGTTATGATACTCCTTTCATAGAAATATAAAAAATATATAATAGCTGTGTTTACTTACACAGCTATTATTGAAAAAGGAGAAATGCCTAAAACTGGTAACTATGAGGTTTTAGTAGTTGACATCCTTTGGAAACCTATAGAGCAGTAAATTCCACTGAAATCAGCGAAACAAATGTAATTAAGAAATTTAGAATTAGCTATGTTGTGTAATATTGTATTATAACTTGGTGTAAAACGTTATGCTCTTTGGAATCATGTTGATATGCATTTTATGAATAATCCCCTTTTCCTGCTTTTAATCCTGATGATCAATCCTGTCCTTCAGTGTCTGTGTTTTTATACATACATTTTAGGGGGGAAAACAACTTTATAACACTGAAATGTCAAAATGAAAAGAATTGGTAAATGGAAAATCATCAAATAAAAGTTTTACTGTATTAAAATCAAACTTTATTATAATTTATGAGATTTATGTCTTGTTTTTCCACAGGAAGACAAATTCCCATACAGAGCATCCCTCCCATTTCCCCCCATAACCATCTTGTGAAAGAGGTTGAGCCAAGTGTGACTGAACCAAGGTCATTCAGTGACTTTGAACTGGGCCTCTCTCAACACTAGAACCACTACATTAGTCTAATTCATACATTTTAAAACCAGATGGTGACTTTCCCCAACCATACCAATATGATAGAGAATAGTTCTATACAAACAGAAGCACTTTATACTATTTTTTAAAATGCTGTTTCTATAGTGCCTTCTCATGAGCAGCTTTTCAAAAAGCATAAACAGCTAAACATGAAGAAAAACAAGAAAATGGGCTATAAATATAATGGTTTATGTACAAAGCGCAAATGCAAATTTAAAGCTGCAGTCATCTCCAGGCTTGTTCTCTCTGTGATTGATAGACAGCTACTGATCGTGTTGGTATCAAACTTGTATGGAAAAACAATGTAGTGTTGCTCTTCCTACTGAATATATAGGCTACTTAACCCTTATGGAGGCCCATTCAATAGTAAAGCATTCATTCATGCTCCTGAATTTTAGCTTCCAGTGTTAGATTTCTACAGGCCCTCTGTTTCTGCATATTTATACAATTTAACCCTGAGTAAGCATAGATGGGCCTTTTCTAAAGCTTGTTGTAGTATTCTTTTGATTTCATTAACCTCCTTATCCTTGGAGACTTTGCCCCAATGGCTCTAGGGAGACAGAAACATGTATTCCAAATATGATATTCTGAGATGTGTTTTTTTCCTTCCTAATTATTTCTACAGTTAAGAGTCATACAGATAAATGTTACATTCTTTTTTTAAAAAAAGCTATGAGAATTCTTAATTCACATTCTAGATTCTCAAATACCTTTATTGAATTATACAAGTACACAACACATTTGATTTACATGCGTTGCTCTTTTGTTTTATGATAATTTCTTGGTAATGAGTTTTCTGAAGCAATCTATTTTCTTTCTCTTTTTTGTAAGAGAAAGAAATAATAAATAATAAAGACTGTGCTAGTTAAAGAAAATTAGAAAGTAAATTTCAAGTTCCCAGTCTTTGCTATTCCTAAACTAAGTTATCAGTAATTTATAAAAGTATACATTTTCATAAAGCAAACAAAACATTTCATTACTTCCATTCAAAATCGTCTGTCTTAAAAATGTGCTTCTAATATGCAAACTGAAATATCAAATCATTTATGGGTCCCAATGCATATAAAGTAATCCTCACCAACAGTAATTGGGATAGGGATCAAAAATAATCAGTGAAACAGCTTGCCTTCAGAAGTTGTGGGTGCTCCATCACTGGAGGTTTTTAAGAAGAGTGGACAACCATTTATCTGAAATGGTATAGATCAGTGATGGCAAACCTTTTCACTGAGTGCTGAAAAAGGAGCACACACGCGCGCTCATCTGGGTTGCAACCTGGAAGAGTTGCCCAGGGCACACGCGCGCACCCAAAAATGAACTTCCAGTTTATTTAGTCTTCCTGTTTAGGGTTTCCGGCTAGTCTTCTGGGTTTCTGGAGCGCATGTGCACGCAACAATCAAATAGTTGGCATGTATGATCACACAGGAAAACGGAAGACCAGCTCTTCCAGTTTCCGATACTGCCACACACACGAAGGGCAGCTGATCATCGCATACGCACCAGAAACTCGGAAGAGACACCGCCGCATGTGCCAGGCAACAGCTCCTTGAGGAGCACTCGGAGGCTCCAACTGGCGCAGAGTGCAGCCGCGCGGGTGGTTATGGGAGCGACGTGGCGTTCCCATGTAACACCTCTCCTGCGCAAGCTGCACTGGCTCCCAGTGGTCTTCCGGATGCACTTCAAGGTTTTGGTTATCACCTTTAGAGCGCTCCATGGCTTAGGACCTGGTTATTTACGAGACCGCCTGCTACCACCAATAGCCTCCCACCAGCCGGTACGCTCTCATACAGAGGGGCTCCTCCGGGTGCCGTTGGCCAAACAATGTTGACTGGCGGCCCCCAGGGGGAGAGCCTTCTCTGTGGGGGCACCTATTATCTGGAATGAGCTCCCCCCGGAGATACGGAGGATCCCGGATCTGTGCACCTTCCGTCGCACTCTCAAGACTTTTTTATTCCATCAAGCCGGCCTGGCCTAAATCTTTCCCCTTTAAAATGTAAATTTTAATTTGTTTTTAAAATTACTGGGTGTTTTTAATTTGTCTTGGCCAAATTGTTTAATTCGGTTTTATTCTGTTTTTAAATTTTGTATTTATGTATTTTATTTTGTGGCTGTTTACCGCCCTGAGTCCTTCGGGAGTAGGGCGGTATACAAATCCAATAAATGAAATGAAATGAAATGGCTCTGTGTGCCACTTCGGGCACATGTGCCATAGGTTCACCATCATGGGTATAGGATCTACTGCGTGAGCAGGGGTTGGACTAGAAGACATCCAAGTTCCCTTCCAACTCTGCTATTCTGATATTCAGTCATAAGATGTGTGGTGTCATGACTGCACTTACAGCATTAATTCCAGCTGTCCCAGTGTTGCTGTCATTTAGATGAATCCCAGGTGGTCATGTCCCACAGTCATGTGACCACCATTTGTAACTACTGGATGGCTTCCCTGCTGACTTTGTTAGATGCTGGTATCAGTCACAGCTGGTGATCACATGATTCTGGGATGCTGCAACAAACGGTAATTGTGAGCCAATTACAAAGTGCCTGAATCATATCACATAAGTGCCTGAATCATATCACATAAGTGCCTGAATCATGATCACGTGATCATGCTGGGATGGTTGTAAATTTGAGGACTGGTCAAAAAGCTATCATGAGGATGTTGCTATGGTCACAACTACAAGGATCCATGGGTAAGTAAGTACCCCTTGTTCAGTGCCGTAATTTCAAATGACCGCTGAACAAGTGGACATTAAGCAAGGATTATCTTATATTAGAACTAGCTTAATTTTTATGCTTGCAAATACTATTTCACGAAAATACTTAACCTTTTAAGGATTGAGCTTTAATGTACTGTATTTAGTTGTTTAAGTTCCAATAACACAAAACATACTGGTGTTGGATGGTTTCATTAACAATAAAAAAACTGAACTTCACTGGGAAACCAACATCGCTAAAACAATAATTGCATATACAATGCTTAGATCTCATAAATCTTTATTAACAAATGAAGGGTTATATACAAAGATAAATGGCATATTTGTTTGAATTTGTGTGTGCTGATAAGATAAACAATGTGCTGTAAATTGGCAAGGCATCTTCATTGTTTGTGGAAGAATTGGCAGGCCATCAGAGGCAGCATGGAGCATATAATTACTGTGAAATTTTCAGTTTGTTTGAAGGCCTGGGAAATAGCATCCATCTCTAAAAGTAGGCCTTCTTTCAAAATGTAATGAAAAGCTCATTAAAGAATTTTTACCAGCATTGAGCAAGTTTTCTTAGGGTTTTTTTTAACTATAGAAGGAGTACAATTTATGCCATTACATATTTGCATAAAAAGCTATGGCAAGTGTATTATTTACATTGAGATTAACTGGTTGTACAGATTGTAAAGTTTAAATTAGATGCAAGAAACTGTATCTAGATGTGCACCTGCCTGGTACACTGAGCAATCCTTAGCTGGTATTTGCTGGAGAGATAGATTTACAGGAAGGTTTTTTTTTAACCTTTTAAGTAGGATCAGGCAGTTGGAGAATCTTGCAGCCAAGCTTGGTATATTCTTAAAACCTGTGGGTTTTTTAAAACACACATACATACAAATGATTAAAATAACAGGATATAGCACCAATGTTACACTGTTTACCATTGCTAATTACAATTATGAAACATACTAGCACACACAAACCATTGGGAAATAAAATATCCCATTTTCCTTGATGTGCAAGGAAATGTGCATTTGTTACAATACAAATACTACTACTTTAGTTTATTATTTAAAATGGGAGCACAGCCAAATGTCTTAATATTTCAAGAAAATAAAGAGAATGATGTTTAACACAACACTGTTATTTCATGCTGATTATTTGGTCTATGTGGCACAAATAAATGCTCTTAATTGCTTTGATAACAAGCAACTTATAGCTACCAAGAACTATAGCTACCAATAATGGCACTTAAGTGTTGGAAAGTTTGGATTCTGAAACATGTATTATGGATTACTATAATAATACAAATGAGTTTATGTCTCTTCAGCAAGTTCCCCTTTTTACAATAAATGGAGATTATTTTTCTATTTTCTAATTATGCACTCTGCTAATAAAAACTCAAGGATTATGAGATACAGTGAGAACATGCATTCCTACTACTACTACTGCAGCTGCTGCTGTTGGAGGACCACAGTAAACTGTCAGCCCGACAATAACTCATAATTTACTGGAATTCTCCTTTATTGTTACTAGGTAGGCAGTGGTACTTAAACATTTACGAACCCTTTTGATTTTTCTGACAGTAAGGAGAAACATAATCGTATTAACAAACTGTTAATCAATCTTCCTCTGTGGAGTGCACTCCTGGTTGCAGAAGTGTCCCAGATGGAAAGAAAGAGGATGGTTACATAAGTCATTCAGCAAATGCTCCACTCAACTCCACCAGGACCCTGCTTGCTTTATTTAGGACTAGCTGGACGTCCGTGCTTCGCTACGAAACTATGTGCTTGGGCTTGATAAATCGACACTTAGAGTTTGAAAATTAATGAGTAGTTAAGATCAGCCTCTCCCCTTCTTTCTCTCAGGCTAGCCCCACAGAAGCCTCTCCTCTCTATCCCCTTCTCTCCCTCAGGCTTGCCCCATGGATCCTCTCCTCTCCCCTTCTCTTCCTCAGGCTGGCCCCACAAAAGCCTCTCCTCTCCCTCAGCCTGGCTCCACAGAAGCCTCTCTTAACCTACCCCCTTCTCTCCCTCAGGCTGGCCCCATAGATCCTCTCCTATCCTCTTCTTTCCCTCAGGCTTGCCCCATAGATCCTCTCCTATCCCCTTCTCTCCCCCAGGCTTTGTAGTTCCTTCTTTCCATGGGGCTTGCTCCACAGAAGCCTGTCCTATGCTATCCCATTTTCTCCAGAGTTATTTTCAAGTTGGGAGGGGGAATAGAACGTCTAACTAATTAGCATCAGAGTGTGTTATAATAATATAGGAAATACTACTGCTCTGATGGTCATTTTGAAAAATCTTTTCTTAGTGAGCACCTAGAAGCCAAGAGAAACATAGGTGGCAAATTTCAAGTTTGTAGGCTTTACAGTTCTGGAGATTTCGTGATTAATGTGTGAGTGGTTTTCGCTTTTATATATATAGTTATTGGTGAACTTATGTACTATCGTCATGCTCAGTGTACGGGGAAAGCTGAATATTAACAAGAAGAGAGAGGTCATCTGTTGGCTTAAATAGTAACATTGGACACTCTTATTTGCACTACCTGGGCAAGATGAGAAGATACAAGTTGTTGGCAACCAATACTCATATAACTAGATCCCAGCAACTGTTGTGTCTATGTACCAGCATCCTGAGCAAGGCTATTCTCTGGCACAGGTTATGTAGTGATACTCCATGATTTAGTAGCAGAGTTAACCTGTGCTTCCTGAGACAAAATTGCCTCTATGGATGTCTACTGTGACTAAAGGCTGGCTGCTTTTTCACTGGTAGATCCCTAGCAGCCACTTGCCTTCTGCCTACCTCTCAAAGCCAATGGGAATGCTGCCTTGTAGACATTAACTCATCTGGATTGCACTCATAACAGAATATTGACTTACCTGAGAAAGACAAATCTCTGATTTGTGTTAAGAATATGTAAAATGCTCTGACATCAAATAGTAGTTTCAGTAAAATACATTTGTGGTGAGTGATTTTTAAGAAACAAAACAAAAAACCCTGGCTTTTTTATAGTTTCAAATATCCTGACCATTTTAAGTGCTGTGTTCTGGGTTGTTATTCTATCGTTCATGTGCAAGTTTTTTTCCCAAACTTTTCCCCATGTAGCTAGTATTGTACCTGCTACTCTGGTTTACACTGAATAGAATAAGAGGAGGAGAGTGTTGAAAGAAAAGTATATGGCCAAACAGAACAAAACCGCTGTAAGGGTGTTGGGAAATCACTTTGGTCTTTTTTAAAAAAAATCTTTTCTGCATCAAAAGTACACATGAATGAACAAGTTACATTGTTCATAAGCATACATTCCTGCTTTTGCAGACAAATAATGAAAAAAGTGTGCTTGTATGTTCATACATGCATTACTGTGCTTTCCAGTTACTAATGCTGTCTTGGTTTGTTTGTTGAGCTTTGGTGTACATCCCCATTCTGTGTAGTATCTGGCATCTTACTAAAATGGCTTCAGGATATTTTTAAGATCACCAAACCTCTCTTGGCTTATTGAGTGTTTAGGATGCACTTTGTACATGCTCTTGTGCTGTCCTGCTGAGCTTTCGGACTGTGTTTCAAACTGCCAAGGATGAAGAAACTCTATTGCTTTCTCACTGGCAGCAAAAAAAAAAAATCCTGCTTTTGTTTTGTGCTGCACTAAGTCTTGTTGCTCAACTTCTGCTGATTCAGCTCCAAGTATATATGCTTCTTTCATCCCTTGAGCAGTTCAGAGTGCATTTTTCTTTCTAGTTGAACAACCTAAGACAGTACTATTTGTTGTTTTTCTTACTGCTGTACTCTTCAATAAAGTTATATTTATTAATATAGGAGCTATAAGCATCAGAGCTGCAGTGCAAACTCCAGTCCACTTGCTCTGGTGCTACAACGGTAACAAACAAGGGAGCAATATTTATTTCATAGAATGAGAGGGTGAGCCGGCCACTATGCAACTCAGAATCATCCACTTTTCAGTGATGCTGAAGCACAGGGCTGCCATCTTACATTCCAATATAAATCAGCCTAGTTTGATACAATGCTGATTCTGTATTATATGTAAATTTTGTTTGATGATAAGAAAACTATGGTCTTGAAAATACTATATACTTAAATGAGTACAATCTTATCCTGACTTAGGAGGGAATAAATAACATTCAATTTGATGAAGATTACTTCATGAAAATTAGTTCTAACTAGCACTGGTCTACCACAATGTGATTTTATAAAATTATAAAAGCAAACTGAAATATGTTCTGAAGTGAAATGTGTTCTGATCAAGACTGAATGAAATGCATTCTAAAAACAAATATCAAACAGTATGTTTTGAGTACCCATGTAAAAGTAAAACACTTGAATATGGCACAAAAAATGATTGAAATCCTTATCAACTTCACTTTGATGACCATCCAAATTTTAAAAAAATTAAAGCAAATATTCTAACAAATATTTATATATACACATTAAAATATCCTAACAAATATTTATATATACACATTAAAACACACAAAATGGGATTCACTCTGAATAATGCAAGGATGGAATTATAACCTATAAATATACAATTGGATTAAAGAATGCTTTTTTTATTACATCATATCTGAAACAGCACAATATATCTTTTGCAAAATATTTTGCCATTTGAGAATCACCAATTTGCAGAGAAAATATTTATGATCACATTGAGTTGTTTTTCCATTGACTAATTCAATCAGATGAACACTTTTGAAACAGTTTTTAATAAATTATATTACACTCAAAATGTAATGCTATCAGAGGTCTATAATTCCCACAAAAGTTCCCATTACATGATTTTCTATATTGTACATTTAAAGCCTCACCTTAATGTCTCTTCACCTTAGCCAATGAGAGATTTCAGGAATGCAAAGCTATTGGCAGGTTGGAGAGTCTCTGCAAAACAAGAACAACTTATACTTAGCATGTTTTAACACACTCAAGTTGCAGTTCTTCCCACTTATTAATAGGCCATTATAGAGTACAACCTACTATTACATTCAAACAAATGTGAAGACTGAAGATTTTTCAGATGAGGAGTAGTGGCCAGAATGGATATTTATTTACTTTTTAAGGGTTACTGGTGTCTTACAGCTATGAAGCTGGATGGAGTAAAAAAAACCCCACTAAATCCAAAATCCAATACACTGCCCAAGTTATTCTCATTCCATTTCCATTGCATTAGTCATTTTGTCCTGCTTTTATTATAGTCACAATTACAGAGAAATTGTTAAAACTGTTTTTTTGCACTTTCCCTCCCCTCCTTTTTGTCTCTCACAAGAAAGAGTAGGAAGATAATTTTCCAGAGATAACATGGGACATTCAACTTCAAGTGACATTTGTAACTATTGGGTACAGTCAATAAGAATCTCAATAAGAATCAAAAGCCACCATGAGCTCTCTAAAATTTTATTCTGGATTTTTGCTTTGATTTTTGCAAGTGCATGCAAAGTTAGAGCATTTTAAGCCACACGTAACTCCAAAGTGGATAGGGAAAGCGGAGACAGGGAAAAAAATGGTCACTTGACTGCTGATATAAAACCTCTCTTTTCTTAAATGTGCCAGAATAATTTTTCTCCATAACCCTCAAGCACAGTTAAAATCTTTAGACTATTCATTATGGTTCTTTTTATAGTATTTTTATTTAATAAAACCTATTAAGACTACCATACAAATCTCTTTACTTATGCTTTTATCTTTTAACTGATCAATTTTTATATTGCTGACATCTCCTCTTCACCATTTGCTCATTTAAAAATTCATAGTACATGAACTATGTCTCTGGAGAAAATGTCTATAAAATTTGTTACAGCTGGCAAATGTGTATGAGTCAGTGATAGCACATGACTAAATGCTTCGCAGAAAATAAAACTTGTTTCTGTAGTAAGCAGAACTGTTTAAATGTTATTTATTTTTATGTTTCAAAGAAAATATATTGTGAAGTGCTGCATTGATTTAATACGCAACATTGTCTGTGTACACGCTGTACAAGGAAAATTTATGAAACCTTTGCACAACTCCTTTAATTGAATTTTCCAAATCTCTCACCACACACAAATAATCAATATCTTCTGCAGAGAAAACCAGTCAGAATTATTACCGTCTTTCTTTTCAATTTTGTTGTCATCAGCACATAGAGAGCACCTAGATATTTGTAATGTCTGGATAGCAAGTTATTTACACCTCTTTAAAAGTAATTGCTATTAATCGCCTCAGTTGTGCCTTCCCACACCCTGTTTTATTTTAAATAACCATTACATGTCTGAAAGAAAAGAAACAGGTATTCTTTCTGAGCATTTGTAGTCATGTAGGAACACAGTACTGATAACATTTTATAATTTAAGGTTTCATTTCACTTGATATTCATATTCCTATATTATTGTAAGGCTTGCTGAAAAAAAAACTATAAGAAATAAGAGCATACAACAATTGGATCCAAGTTCATGAGGCAATCCTGAAAGGAATGCAATTTAGTAAGCTAGTGTATGTTTGGATGCATTTGTATAGTTGATTTTGAATATAATTGAAGATATTCAAGTACATATTTTTTATAAATGAGTATCACAGTCAACTTGATAGGTAACATTTAATCTAGAAAGTATAGAACATTAAACCACACTTGAAACACTGTTTGCTTTCAAAATATCTAACATTACTGTAAACTATGATGCTACATACCTCTAATGTTGTATTTTAAAATTGACATCTTAACTACTGCTAGGCCAAAGATTAAGACGACCAAAAAGCATTATATCCTACAATATTCAGAGGCCAAAAGAATAATGGAAGACTAACCATTTTTCTTCCACTAAGTAGCATTTCTCTGCTAGACAGATTAAAATCTCACCTAAAGCAAAAAATGCCACACAAAATCGATACAGCCCAAACTTAGTTTCTTACAAAATAATTTCAAGAATGGTTCAGCCTTCAAAGGGAAGTGAGACCACAATGTTCTCGCTTTTCTGAAGCTAAGTCCTATTGAACTCTGAGGAGTTTACCTCTGAGTAGACGTGCATGGGGTTGCAATCAGGTGAAATGCTACCGGTTCAGGCCAGTTTGCCCAAACCGGTAGTAAAAATGCTACTGGTTCACTGAACCGGTAGTAAAAAAATGTTTAAAAAAAGTTCCGACGATCGCACGTCGCTCAGCTGATTGTCAGAACTTCTTTATTTTTTGCTTTTTAAGTATTTTTTTACTACCGGTTTGGACGAATAGGTAGTGAAAAAATGCTTTTAAAAAGTTTAAAAAAAAGGCTCGGACAATCATGCGGCACAGTTGTGATCATCTGAGCCTTTTTTTAACTTTTTAAAAGAATTTTTTACTACCTATTCACCCGAACCCGTGGTATAAAATGCTTTAAAAATGTTTTTAAAAAGGTTCCCAAGATCGCACTCCACAGCTGATTTCCCCCCCCCTCGCTGTTCTACTTACCTTCCCAACCCTCCTTTTGGTGTGTATTGCGCATGTGTGCACAGCATGCATTTGGTGCAAACTGCGCATGCGCGGCCAGCAAACCGGTAGCAAACCGGTTCAGATTTCACCACTGGTTGCAATGCAAAGTTTCAATCTTGCATCATGCTATTGGAATTTATTTCTGAGAAACAAATCACAGCATCAGCCATATTGAACATACTGGGGATTACTTTTGAATATACATGTATAGCTTTGACTCTAGGAATATATTAAAATTGTAAAAAAAAAATAAATAAGAAAAATATTGTAACAAAGATAACAAATCCTATCTTATAACCAGGTTCAATTTGCAAATGTGAAAAAAGACTTTGATAGAAAGAAATGCAGAAAGGTCATTAAATCGAACATTGTCTTACCTGAATGTTCCTTTTCGGAGTACTGCGACTGCAGTCCATAGCTGGGTTTCTTCATCTTCAGTTCCTTTTGACTGGGTGATCTTTAAGAATATTTCTCTCTTCGCCCTGTGGCCACGCCCACTGCTCCCATAATGCACCAGTCTTTGAACGAAGGCGCGACCACTTAACATAGTCCAAGAAAAGACCAACAGGCCGACAACAATAACAAGTCCAGACATCAATAGTCCAATAATAGAAGAAAGGAGAAAAACAAGGGAGGGGATGGACTGCAGTCGCAGTACTCCGAAAAGGAACATTCAGGTAAGACAATGTTCGTTTTCCAGAGTACTGCTCCTGCAGTCCATAGCTGGGATATACCCAAGCTCAGAAAAAACAAGGGTGGGAAACTAAAGGCCCCCGGAGTCCTGCGTCGCTAGCACACTCTGCAGGACACGACGGCCAAAAGAAGCCTCAGCCGAGGCAAAGGAATCCACCCTATAATGTCTGATAAAAGGTGTCACAGAGGACCAGGTGGCAGCCCGGCAAATGTCAGAAACAGATGCCTGAGTGGCCCAAGCAGCTGACGTTGCCGCACTACGAGTAGAGTGAGGCAAAATCCCGGATGGGACCTGCCTGGCCTGACGTTCATAAGCGGTAGAGATGCACGCCTTAATCCACCTGCCCACAGTCGATGGAGATATTTTTTGACCCAAGGATCTTGGATGGAAAGATATCAAAAGGGCCTCCGTTTTCCGGAATGACTCAGTCCTGCGAATATAACGCCTGAGGGCCCTGCGCACGTCAAGCGTGTGCCAATCTCTCTCACGTCGGTGCTTGGGTGACGGACAAAAGTCAGGAAGGATTAATTCCTGAGCGCGATGAAAATAAGAGTTCACTTTCGGCAAAAAAACCGGGTCCAGGCGAAGAACAACCGTATTGGTATGGAAAATACACAAGTCGTTCCGGATCGACAGAGCTGAAAGTTCGGATATCCGTCTGGCGGATGTGATCGCCAAAAGGAAGGCGACCTTATAAGACAAGTACTTAAGAGACACAGAGCTCAGCGGTTCGAAAGGGGGACTCATAAGCGATTGAAGAACAAGGGAAAGATCCCAGGTCGGGTATCGACGAACCGGAGGCGGACGCAAGTTCATAGCCCCATGCAAGAATTCTCTGATTTGGGGGTGGTGAGACAGAGACGAGTAAGGCGGACAGCGAACTACAGTGGACAAAGCAGCAGTCTGTCGACGAAGGGTAGACGGTGACAAGCCCTTGTCCAGGCCAGACTGTAAGAAGCAGAGGATGTCCACGACTTGAGCCGACGTAGGGTCCACCAAGTTGTCAGCACACCAGGCGCAGAAGGCCCGCCACGAGGACTCGTATATGCGCGATGTCGAAGGTCTGCGAGATGCCTGTATAGTGGTTATGACAGAATCGGGGAGACGGTCCTTGCGCAGGATGACCCGCTCAAACGCCAAACGGCCAATCGGAGCCATCCTGGATCTGGGTGGAACACCGCTCCTTGGCGTAGAGAGAGACGGCTCGGTGGGATCTCCCATGCAGGGAGTATGGACAGAGCCACCAGGTCGGCATACCACGGCCGACGAGGCCAACTGGGAGCCACCAGCAGAAGTTCCGCACGTTCGTCCAACAACTTTCGAATGACTTGAGGAATCAACGGAAGTGGGGGAAAGGCGTACAAGAGGCCGGGAGGCCAGCGGCACCGTAGGGCGTTGTGGTCCTCTGCCATCCGAGTTGGATAACGTGACACAAATCTGGGAAGCTGGGCGTTCGCCGGACTGGCGAAGAGGTCTACAACAGGCAGGCCGAAGATGGTGACAGCCTCCTGGAAAATCTCGGGATCCAGTTGCCATTCCGACTGGTCTATCAGTTGCCTGCTGAGCCAATCTGCCCTCACATTGTCCACGCCCGAGATGTGATCGGCCTTCAGAGACAGAACGTGACCCTCGGCCCAAGAGAACAGCTTCTCTGCCTCCAACATCAGGTCCCTTGACCTCGTGCCCCCTTCCTTGTTTATATGGGCCTTGGCGGAGATATTGTCCGTGAGGACGAGGACATGCCGGTCTT